GAAAGTACAGCAGCGTACAAGGTACGTCTCTGGTCCACAAGTGGGTATTTATCTTTCCAGTTATATGCCGGTCATGCATTCCAGTAAAATTGACAGTGCCTGGAGAATTTTCAAGTGTCATATTTTATTAACATTGTGTAAACTTTATTTTTATAAAGAACCTGTTGCTGCAACTGCTCACTAAGTTGCAAGTTGCTCATAGCATTCTTTTTCCCCTGGTGTCTGATCAAGGCTGCATGGTTAGAAATTCTCTGCTTATCCAGAAAGAGGGCCCTGGGGACAACTTGTGCCGTGACGCAACCCTGGACAGTAGTTGGCTGGAGAAGTGTGTGGGTGGGTTTGGCCAGCTGGAAAGGTGTGTGGGTGGTTTTGGACTATACATCACTTTTGGACAATGAGCAATGCTACTTTGCTTTTACATTATACAAATATATTGTATAATGCATATAAACATCATCAAAGCCATACAGCCATGAGACAAATAATTTCAGAACTTTTTCCAGCTGTAATGTGACCTATAAACTGTACAACTCAGTTGAAAAACAAACTAAAATCTTTTAGGAGGGAGTAAACATAAAAAAACTAAAATAATGTGGTTGCATAAGTGTGCACACCCTCTTATAACTAGGGATGTAGATGTTCAGAATTAGGCAATCACATTCAAAATCATGTTAAATAGGATGACACACCTGCCATCATTTAAAGTGCCTCTGATTACCCCCAAATAAAGTTCAGCTGTTTTAGTAGGTCTTTCCTAACATTTTCTTACAGTAGTTGCATCCTACAGCAAAAGCCATGGTCCACAGACAGCTTCCAAAGCATCCGAGGGATCTCATTGTTAAAAGGTATCAGTCAGGAGAAGGGTACAAAAGAATTTCCAAGGCATTAGATATACCATGGAACACAGCGAAGACAGTCATCAAGTGAAGAAAATATGGCGCAACAGTGACATTACCAAGAACTGGATGTCCCTCCAAAATTGATGAAAACACAAGAAGAAAACTGGGCTGGGAGGCTGACAAGAGGCCTACAGCAACATTAACCTCCCTAGTGGTATGATTATGTCAATATTTCTGTGCTCAAAGCGGTACATTGTTATTGTTTTTTTTTTTTCTTTTTTTTTTTTTTTTCTTCTTTTTTTTTATTTTTTTTTTCGCATGAAAATATGTTGTTTTTTTTATTGTAGGCCTGTAATTTTTAGGAATAATTCACTGAAATCTGTCCGAACAAGAGTCTAGTAAACATCACGGGTATGATAAAATTTGAAACGCGAAATCATAAATTATAATATAATAAATAATTTTAAAAAATTATAATATAATAATAAGTTTAATTCAATAATATAATCAAACCAAAAACACTGAAATTTGAAATAGAGCTCACTGAGCTCAGTCGCAGAATCGTTTTCAGTGTCTGATGACCAATTTCCCCATGAATCATTATCACTTAATTCTGCAAGTGGTTCTGATTTACTATCGCTAATTTCTAGCTGGTCTAAAACCGCTTTTGACGTAAAGGGATGCTTTTTGGACGCTATGGACTTTTCTCAGTTTCCAGGCAGAAAGAACAGTAAAAATGCAGGCAGGGCACAGGATAAAGCACTCGGGACAAAATGTATGTGAAATGCTTTGATACAGTAATGTTTTACTATGTGATTTTAGTGTATTGAGTGAATCACTTTTAAATTTTTGAATTTCCCACTGGTTCCGGCCCCCGTACGTCCCCTACGTCCCAACGCTCGCAGGGACCGAAACCCGGAAGACGGATGCCAACATCAGCCGGAGGAGATGGCTGGGGATGCTGCAGTAGGACATCGCAGGAGCGCAGGACAAGGTAAGTGAAACAGGGATCCCGGAGCAACGCTGCAGGGTATTCCCGAGTGTAGCTCGGGGTTACCGCTTTTGGTATTGAAAGTTAACCCCCAGCTATACTTGGGAATACCGCCAGGGAGATTAAAGGAGCTGCAGGAATATCTGGCAAGTACTGGCTGTGTGGTACATGTGACAACAATCTCCCTTATTTGTCATATGTTTGGGCTATGGGGTAGAGTCCAAGACGGAAGCTTTTTCTTATGAAGAAAAACATCCAAGCCTGGCTAAATTTTGCAAAAACACATCTGAAGTCTACCAAAAGCATGTGAGAACATGTGTTATGGACTGGTGAAACCAAGGTTGAGCTTTTTGGCCATAATTCCAAAAGATATGTTTGGCGCAAAAACAACAAGAAGTGGCATGCTGATAGACTCATACCCAAAAAGAGTGCTGGAATAAAATCAAAAGGTGCTTCAACAAAGTATTAGTTTACAGGTGTGCACACTTATGCAACCATATTACTTTAGTTTTTTATTTTTACTTCCCTCCACCTAAACGATTTCAGTTTGTTGTTCAAGAGAGTCGTACAGTTTATAGCTTACATAAAAGGTAGAAAAAGTTCTGAAATGATTTATCTTTGTCTCATTTTTTTACATCACAGAAACCTGACATTTTAACAGGGATATGTAGACTTTTTATATCCACTGTATATGACAACCTTAGGAATATATCTATAGCATGTTTAACAGTATCAGCTCACTTTAGCAATTTTCATGATTTTTCTGATATGTATTCAGTTAGCGGTCTCTTTAACATTGCGTCCTCCACCAACTATTATATCACCCATCTTTTTTTAGCAAAGGGTTAAATAGGCACCTTACCACCTTATTGTGACAGTTTTTGTTCACCCCCTATATGAGAAGTAGCGAGAGACCACCATTTATTTGCCCTGAGAGAAATGGTGAGGGTGCAGTATTCCTGTCCCTAAAATATTTACTGGAGTTGGAAATATTCACTGCAATAGGACAACGCCTCCTTCAATTGTAGATTGTATTACCTTACTGCTGCACATGTACATTAAAATAACAGGCACATACAGAATATTTAACCCCTTGACGCCGAACGCATGCAAATAAGCAGCCTCTCGGCGTCTGGGCCTTGATGCTGAGCGTTCGCATATTTGCGTGCAATTAGAAATTACATATGTGCTGAGAACGCGTGCCCTGCGCACTCCTAGCACATGTGTCCTCGACTCCCAGAAAGTTCATGATCCCCCCTTTCAATCGAGACCTTTTCCGATCATGTGACCGCTGTGACTGCCGTGATGGCGAGTCACGGTAGTCACATGACCCTAAAACCCCGCCCCACTTCCCAGCTTCTTAAACTCTTATAGGTCCGGGAGGCGCCGGCGCCAAGAGGTTATTAATTAACCACTCTTACAAACTTTACATAACACTCTGCATTATAGATAGATCCACAATGCATATATAAATAGATATGTCTAAGGCTCCAAGCTGAAAATATCACACCCCACAATAATACTAATGTATGAGTTAAAGTACAACTCCAGGCAAACAGCTAGTTTAAAGCTAAATTTCAGGAATTCAGCACTTTTGTAAAAAGTGAAGTCACACTATGAGTTAAAGTGATTCTAAAGGCTTAAATTAAAAAAAAACCCTAACAAACATGTCTATACTTACCTGCTGTGTGCAGTGGTTTTGCACAGAGCAGCCTGGATCCGCCTCTTCTCGAGTCCCCCACCCTTGCTCCTGGCCCCTCCCTTCTGTCGGGTGCCCCCACAGCAAGCAGCTTGCTATGGGAACACCCAGGCATGCACACTCTCCCCAGCTGCTGCTCAGTGTGTCCTAGCCCCCTCTCGCTTCTCATGGGCTCACTGGCTGTGATTGACAGCAGTGGAAGCTAATGGCTCCCTCTGCTGCCTCAGCCAATGAGGATCGAGAGGGGGCTTAGGTGAGAATTAAGGAGGCTGCGGGGGAGCCTTTACAACCCATGTTAAGTGCAAGGATGTGCATGACATCTCCTGATCTATTATTTATATCTGACAGGTTTATAGTACTCCTGGAAGACAGCTATTGCTGTATTTCTGGGAGCCCAATGCTGATCCTTCAGGTTTCAGCATCTTCAACAGTAGAGTCACTGCAGCTGCTATGCCTGTCCATCCTCTCCTCCTGCCCAATCACAGAATCTTTTATATTATGTGAACTCATTCACAAAATACAAAGGCTTCTCTGAATAGGCAGCAGAGGGAAGGGGTGAGAATAGCTGTTCTGTGTGCCTCTCTCCCCTCTCTCACTGCCCCAAATGTCTCGTGTAACCTCCGGCAGAACCATAAACCTGTCACATATAAATGATAGAGGCAAGTTCAGGAGATGCTATGCGCCTCCTTGGATGTAACTTAAACTGTGCCTTCACTTTTTATAAAAGTGTCTGAATTCCTGCAATTCAACTTTAAACACATAAACACAACATATGTTACTGTTTAACCTGGCAAAGGGTTTGCAATTTCATTGATTTAGTTTTTTTATTTTCACATGCCTATCACACTACCCTACTCTGCCAAAAGCTCCCTCTACTGTTTTCTTGTCCAGCTTTACTACTATATCGATTGCTTCCTGCTTGTTGCCTACAGGTGATGATGCTGATTGATTTACAAGTTAGCTGCATGGCTCTAAAAGTGCCAGAAGCAAAGTTCATGGTACACAAAATATTAAAGATATATGTATTTCCACTAAAAAAACTAAGAAACCAAAATAATCCTAGTGTATCTACAACCCCTGGCAAAATGTATGGAATCACCCCTCTTGGAAAATGTTCCTTCGATTGTTTTAATTGTGTAGAAAAAAAATAATCACAGACATGCCTCAAAACTATTTTCATTTAACATTCCAACCTTCTGGCTTTAAAAAACACTTAAATAAATATAAAAGAAAGAAAACTGTAGTCAATTGCAACTGTTTTTTTGCAAATCAAGCAGAGGAATAAAAAATATGGAATCACTCAATTCTGAGGAAAATTTTATGAAATCACCATGTACTTTGCAGTTCTAAAACAAACATCTGCATCAGATTACATCTGCTAATTAGTCTGCAGTTAAAAAAGAGTGCTTGCACACTGTGGTGAGCTGTCACACCAAGCTGATTGACATGAATCATGTCCCCAACAGGAGAGATTTCAGTTGAAACAAAGGAGAGGATTATAAAACTTCTTCAAGAAGGTAAATCATCATGGAATGTTGCAATAGATGTTGGTTGATCCCAGTCAGCTGTATCTAAAATCTGGACCAAATACAAATCAAATGGGAAGGTTGTAAAACGGATGAGTACTGGTAGAGCAAGGAAGACATCAAAGCGTCAAGATAGAAAACTTAAAGCAATGTGGAATAGACTCCCTCAAGAGTTGGTTCTGGCCAGCTCAGTGGATTGCTTCAAAAAAGGCCTGGATTCTTTCTTAGATACACAGAATATAACTGGATATTAACATTTATAGGTAAAGGGAATATCACAAAGGAATTTTTTTCCCAGCAGTAGCAAATTGGATCATACTTTGATGGGTTTTTTGCCTTCCTCTGGATCAACTGTGGATATAGGATTATAACTTTTTTTTATGGTTGAACTTGATGGACTTTTGTCTTTTTCAGCTATGTAACTATATGCCTTGAAAACAAAAAAATGCACAAAACAAATGAGGAACAAATGGGCAGAAATTGGAGTTAATGTCTGTGACCGAACTGTAAGACATCGCCTAAAGGAAATAGAATTTACATACCGAAAAGCCAAAAAAAAAAAAAAAATCATTAACCAATTCAATACCGGGCAATTTTACACCTTCCTGCCCAGGCCATTTTTCAGGTTTTAGCGCTCTCACACTTTGAATGACAATTGCGCAGTCATACAACATTGTACCCAAACTAAAATTTTATCATTTTCTTCACACAACTAGAGCTTTCTTTTGGTGGTATTTAATCATCGCTGGGTTTTTATTTTTTGCTAAATTAACAAAAAAGCCTGAAAATTTTGAAAAAAAAAAAACAGTTTTTCTTTGTTTTTGTTATAAATAATTGTTCTTCATAAATTTAGGCCAAGATGTATTCTGCTACATGTCTTTGGTGAAAATAACCCAAATTAGGATGTATTTTTTAGTTTGTAGGAAAGTTATAGAGTTCACAAACTATGGTATAGATCTGAATATTGATCAATCCTGAAGTACTGACAGCCAATCTAATTTCTTGAGGTCCAAGAATGTCAGAATAGTACAGATATCCCCCAAATGACCCCTTTTTACAAAGTAGACAGTCCAAGGTACTTCATAAGAGGCATGGCGAGTTTTTTTTGAAGTTGTATTTTTTTTGTCATAATTTTTCGGAAAATGAAAAAATAAAAAAAATTATTTTCACTATTTTTTTTTTTTACATACTGTCACCAGTGCAGTACAGCGTCATCATATAACTGGCATGGCGGTGATCAGGGACACTGACTGGTGACAGTATGAAAAAAAAAGATATATTTTTTATTTTTTTTTTATTTTTTTTTTATTTTAAATTTTTTATTAAATTTTTTTTTTTTTTTTTAAGATTTTTTTTTCATATTTCACTATGTCCAAAGTAGTAAAATGTTACCATAGTAACATTGTACTAATTTGGGGAAGTGATCAGTATTTTTTTTTTTTTTTTACTCAATTTGCTTATAGCAAAGAATTACTTTGCTATAAGCAAGCATTTACCTGAATGGCATCGATTCATTCAGGGTTTTTTTTTTTTTTTTTTTTTGTGCTTAGCTGTGATTTGGCCACAGCTAATCACATGACATGTGCATGTGATTAGCTGTGACCATTCACAGCTAGACACTAGTATACAATGGATGGCATGAATGGCATGAATGAAGCCATCCATTGTATACAACTGTCATGTGACCTGCTGTGATTGGTCACTGAATATCATCCAGTCATCCACAGTCTATGATTGCTTTTCCGAGGTACACGGCCGGTGACAGATCGCGCCGCTGCGCGGCTCTGCAAGCGCGCAAACTGCGCATGTGCGGGAGGATGCCATATGGCGGCCTCCCGGAAAGGTAATGCATTTTTGTGGACGCCATTTGGCCATAGGCCGGGCGTCAAATGGTTAACACCTACACAGAAAAAACAAGGTTACAGTGGGCTAAAGAAAAGCAATCATGGACTGTGGATGACTGGATGATATTCAGTGATAAATCACAAACCTGCATTGAGCAGGGTGATGATGCTGGAACGTTTGTTTGGTGCCATTACAATGAAATGTATAAAGACGACTGCCTGAAGAAAACATGCAAATTTCCACAATCTTTGATGATATGGGGTTACATATCAGGTAAAGGTAGGGGGGAGATGACAGTCATTAAATGTTCAATAAATGCACAAGTTTATATTGAGATTGTAGACACTTTTCTTATTCCATCAATTGGAAGGATGCATGGTGACAGTGATATCATTTTACAGGATGATAATGCGTCTTGCCATAGGACAAAAGCTGTGAAAACTTTCCTTCAAGAAAGATATATGGGGGTTTATTTACTAAAACTGGTACACTCAGAATCTCATGCACTTCTGCATAGAAACCAATCATCTTCCAGGTTTTAAAGCTTAACAGCACAAGCTGAGGTTAGAGGCTGATTGGCTACCATGCACAGTTACACCAGATTGTAAGTGAACCAGCTTTAGTAAATCCCCCCCATAATGTCAATGGCAAGCCCTACAAATAGTCCTCAATACAATTGAAAATCTATGGTGGAAATTACAGAAAATGGTCCATGACAAGGCTCAAACCTGAAAAGCTGATCTGGCAACTGCAATTGAAGAAAGTTGGAGTCGGATTGATGAAGAACACTGTATGTCGATAGTTAAATCCATGCATCAGAGGATTCAAGCTGTTATAAATGCCAGAGGTGGTGCAACAAAGTACTACTGGTGTACTGTAGTGGTTTTTTCATGATTCTATAATATTTTCCTCAGAATTGAGTGATGCCATATTTTTTTTCTCTGCTTAATCTGCAAAAACAGTTTCAACTGACCACAGTTTTCTTTCTTTTTTATATTTAAATGTTTCTTAACCACATGCCACCCAGCCACTGTATAAATACGGTGGCAGGGTGGCACGGCTGGGCAAAACCACGTTTTAAAACGTGTGTTTTGTAAACAGGTAAGGGGCACGCGCTGGGCGCGTCGCCGCCCTACCTGTCCCGCCAATCACAGCCGCGGATGTCAGTCGCCGGGTCACAGCCGGTCGTTACCGGCTATGTCCCGGCGATTGGCGGCAATCACTGACAGAGAGCACAGCTGCAGTAACTGTGCTTTCTGTCAGTTCCCTGACAGCTCCAGGACAAGCTGATCGGGACAGAAGAGTTTCTCTCTCCCGATCAGCGGTGTCCTGTGCAGTACACACCCCCGCCCCCTAGTAAAATACTCCCCCTCACACAGTTAACCCTTTCCCTGAAAAATAAACTTAACCCCTTCCTCCCCAGTGCCATTAGTACAGTGTCAGTGTTTTTTTTTTGCGCTGATCACTGTATTGGTGTCACTGGGGATGTCAGTGACCCCAAGTCAGTACCCCCCAATGTCAGAATGTCCTTAGCAGTCCCGCCATAAGTCGCTGATCGTCGCCATAAGTCACTGATCACCGCAATAAGTCGCTGATCGCCGCCATTATTAGTATAAAAAAAAAACTAAAAATCCCAGTATCTTTCCCGCCATTTGTAAACGCTATAACTTTCACGTAAACCAATTAATTTACACTTATTGGGATTTTTGGGAAGACATGTCGCAGAATGTATTTTGGCAGAAGTTTATGACTAAATTTGATTTTTAAATTTTTTTTTTTACTGGACATGTTTTATAGCAAAAAGTCCAAAATATTGTTCTTTTTCCTCAAAATTGTCAGCCTTTTTTTTTTATAGCGCAAAAAATAAAAACCGCACAGGTGATCAAATACCACCGAAAGAAAACTCAATTTGTGGGGAAAAAAAAGGATGTAAATTTCATTTATGTACCGTATTGCATGACCGCGCAATTTTCCATTAAACTAGCGCAGCGCTGTATAGCAAAAAAATGGCGTAAATTGCAGTATCTATACCATAGTTTGTAGACGCTTTAACTGTCACACAAAGCAATCAATATACACTTATTACGATTTTTTTTACCAAAAACATGTAGCAGAATACATTTTGGCCTAAATTTATAACCAACTTTGAGTTTAATATATATTTTTTATAGCTGAAAGTAAAAAATATTGTTTTTCTTCAAAATTTTTGGCCTTTTTTTGTTTATAGCGTGAAAAATAAATAGCACACAGGTGATCAAATACCACCGCAAGAAAGCTCTATTTGTGTGAAAAAAAGGACGTAAATTTTTTTGGGTGCAGTGTTGCATGACCACGCAATTATCAGTTGAATTAGTGCAGCGCCGAGTAGCAAAAAGAGGCCTGGTCATTAAGGGGGGTAAATCCTCTGGAGGTCAAGTGGTTAAAGTCAGAAGGTTTGAATGTTAAATGAAAATAGTTTTGAGGCATGTCTGTGATTATATTTTTTTTCTACACAACTAAACAATTGAATGAACATTTTCCAAGAGTGGGGATTCCATACTTTTTGCCAGGGGTTGTAGTTTGATGAATCAGCTGATATTTGTAGTTATTCACTGGTTTTAAATAGGCTCAGTGTGGGTCATATCTGAAACTAGTGCCTTTGTAAAAGAATATATAAACCCAATATTTCATAATCCTGATATGTGCCTGCTGTACCATGTACTGAATCTATGCATATGATTCCTGTTCTCTTTGCATTGCTCCCTGTGTGAAATCCCTGATGTTCCTGCCAGTACCTCTGCTTTCCTATTAAAAACTGACCACACTAGGCAGGAGAGCACAGCATGGTCAGTTTTCTAGCTGTGCTGAAACTCAGCCTGCTCTCCTTCAATGACAAGCAACCCCTGCACATCCATGCACTGGGAAGATCAGTGTGCTGCTGTTTCTTCTCCCCTGACCTCCTTATGCAGCTGAAAAAGATGATATGTGATAACTAATAAAAAGAGGAAAATGTAATTATAATAAATATGTGTATACAAATGTTTTATCATTTCTATTTTAAACTGAATGGGTTGTTTTACAAGGTGAGGGTTTACATACAGTGCTCAGCATAAATGAGTACACCCCTTTTGAAAAGTAAGATTTTAATCAATATCTCAATGAACAGAAGAACAATTTACAAAATTCTGACAAAACTGAGTTTTATAGAATATTTGTTTAGCTCATTATACAAAAGTGAGGTTAATAATATAACTTAGATTACAGAATCTTCCATTTTAATCAAATTAGTTGATGCAAAAATGAAAACACCCCCACAACAAAAACTACTACATCTAGTATTTTCTATAACCTCCATGATTTGTAAGAACAACACCAAGTCTTTTAGGCATGGAATGAACAAGTTGATGACACATTGCAACATCTACCTTTTACCATTCTTCAAGGACGACCTCTTTTAGTGCCTAGATGCTGGATGGACGTTCAACTTGTCTCTTCAGAATTTCCCAAAGGTGTTCGATTGGGTTCAGATCAGGCTTGGCATTGAGCCTTCTATGCACCTTCTCTTGCCTTATTAACAGTATTGGGTAGGTGTTTGGGAAAGGCTTGCCGGATTCTTTTGTAATCTTTAAAATATGGATAATTCTATATTGATTTTTATGTGTTGTATTCAGATTATATCTTTGAATGCATCTATGGAATATATCTTGTATGGACTAATTTACATATAAATATATCCGCTACTTGTTTCCTG